GGGAACCCCCTCCTGTATCTTATAACTGCATACAAGGAAATCCTACTCAATACATTCTCTCTCATTAAACTGCTGTCAAAAGCAGCATGCGCTCAGCAATGGAAACCAGCTATGAAGTTGGTTAAATGCAGCCAACACTGAGCATGACTATAAAATACATGGTTCACATTGGGCAAATATGTTGTTGGGAACCTTTTTTTTTTTTTCTTTTAACAAAAAATTATGACACGCACACACTTACCACCCAACACTTAAAAAGCTTCACATATTAAGCATCCAAAGTTTCATATTGCAAAAACAATTACATATCCAAAAACATTCAAGTACATATATTAAACCCGCAAACAAAATACATCAACTTTCCACAAAAGAACTCCTTACAGAACTCTTTTTTCTTCGGAAAGAAACCCCTGAAAATGTATTACCTCTGTAACCATCTGAAACTCTCTACCCCTCCCATCAGTCCTCTCTGTTGGTTTAGGGAAACAAGCATGTTCCATCTCTTTTCCTCCACTACTTCTCCTCCTCTTCCTCTCTGATCTCTTCCTTGTCCCAGTCCATGTATGGTCCTCTGGTTATCAGCCACCATTGCCAGTATTTTGGGTTTTGGGTTTCCCCCCTCCACTCCTGTCATCCCAACACTCCATTAATCTCTTTCTTCTGTCCTTAAGGCATTGATCAGGCTCTTTGCTGATCACTTGATCTTAGCCAAAAGGCCAAGAAAATGATAGAAACCTTTTTTTTTTTTTGGCCCTTCAGAAATGGGTGGCTATTCTCTCTTCAGGGAACTGGCCCTGGGCCTGGAGGTACTACAGTACCAGGCCAGCACCAGGAGGGCCAGAGCTAGTCCTGACCTCCCCCTTCATGGCAAAATGTCCATATTTGATATACCAGTGGGAACCTATCACAAAGACACGTAGGCTGTACTAACCTAGATAAGACATATGCTAGTGCCCAGTAAGTGCAATCCCTCTCATTGCTGACTCTTGCTCCAGCTATGGTGAGCCATGACATTGCAAACAGTCCACCCAGAATCCCTCTGTCACACTCCCTCTCAACCTGCTGCATATGCTTAGTGTTGCCCCGCTCTCCAAGAAGTGATGCCAGACCAGGCTGCCCTGCACCTCATCTACACATAATTTTTTTAAGCGTCCCAGGACTCATGCCAAGAACATCCAGTTCCAGTCATGAGTGGACACTAATTAGTGGAGGGATATCTGGAGTATACACACATACTGAGCAATGGTGAGCTGTGGGATCAGACTAATCATATGTGCCAGGTGGGACCAGACTAATCATATGTGCCAGGCTGAGAGGGGAAGCAACAGAGGGATTCTGGGTGAACTGCATGCAATGTCATCGCTCACTATGGCTTGAAATACTGTTGACTTGTGCGGCCCAGTCCAGTGAACTATGTGGTGAATCATGAGACTTTTGGCTTAGGAATAATACCATGCATAAATTAATACTAGATATTGTTGTCATCGGTGATCCCTCATGGATGAGCATGATCACTCCCATGGGTCAAATAAAGGGTTGTAAATGAGTCTACTGGTGGCTAAGAAGGCTGATCCTAAACCTGCAGACTTTCTGGCAAACACCACAGGTGGTGGTTAAAGGGAGGATTGAACTGTGGATTTCGCAGTCTTGTTTCCTTTCCTTCTGTTTGTCATTTTTCTGCCTCCAGGGTGAGATCATTTTCCTTCAAGTAAGATGTACCTACTCTCACAAGGTCTCATCATATAGCCCTGTCCTGACCTAGTTTTTTCCTCCAATTTGCGATGCCAATGCCACACTTCTTAGTGTTAGCCTTGAACGTGTCCTTAAAGCATTTCCTCTGGCTCCCACATGTCCTATGTCTTTGGCTGGGTAGGGAGTATATCAATTGTTTTGGTAAACATGCATTAAGCATACACACAGTGCCCTGCCCACCACAGCTGATATTGAATAATCAATGTTTCTATGCTGGTGGTGTTAGCATGGTGAAGGCCAGAGGCGAACCAAGTGGGGTGCAGTGCCCAGGGCAAATCAGCCCATGTGGGCCCCTGCCCCTGCTCCAATCCTGGACCTGAAGAAGCTGCCACCACCATTGGTGGCAGTGATGGCAAAGGAGGGGATGGGGGGGAGGGAGTGAGCAGCTCAACACAGAGCCACCACTCTGCCCAGCTCCGCACTGCCATTGCTCCGCCCAGCTCTACAGGGCCCCTCGAAGAGCAGGGTCTGGGGCCGTTGCCCCAATTCACCCCCCGCTAGGAACAGCCCTGGTGAAGGCATTCCAGGATTTCAGGTACTTCCTGTAGGTCATAGCTGTAGAGAAGCATTGGGATTATCACAGCCTTATATAATAGCATCTTTGTTCCAGTCCTGAAGTTGTGATCACTGAACACACGATGATACAATCTTCCAAATGCAGAGCTGGCACATCAGATCCTTTATTGGACCACCTCGTTGATGTTGGCCTTCTCTAAGGCATACAAAGTGTTCAACATTTTCCAGCTTCTGTCTGTCAATGAGGATCTTTGCCAGGGGAGTTAACTGGCTCAGAGCAGGATGGTGAAGCACCTTTGTTTTTCTGATGTTAAGAGTCAATCCCAAGCACTGGTATGCTTGAGAGAAGCAGTTGAGGGCCATTTGTAGGTCCTCCTCCAGATGTGCAATGACAGCACAATCATCGATATACTGACATTGCACAATTGAAGCTGAAGTAACTTTCATTTTGGCATGGAGGCAGGAGAGATTGAAAAGGTTTCTGTCTATTCTGTACTTGATGCTGATGCAATGTGGCAATCAATCATGGATGAGCATCTTGATGACCTCAAGAAAGATGGAAAACAAAAATCGGTGCAATCATGTAGCCCTACTTGATACCAGTTCGAATGGCAAAGTGCTCCATAGTGGAGCCACTGCATAGGATGAAGGCTGTCATCTGGTCATGAAGGAGTCTTAGCAGGTTGATAAATTTCCCTGGACAGCCAAACTTCAATAAGGTCTTCCATAGAGTCTCATGATTAACAGAACTGAAGGCTTTGGTCAATTCGATAAAGGCCGTACAGTTCCAGGACTAATAACATGCATAGTTTATACTAGATTTAAGTACATGCCAAAGTGCTGCTCAAAAGTGTGTTTATGAAACACCTGTGCTAAAACTGCAGTTGTAACATGCATCAATTCTGGATGAACCAAGTCTATGGGTACTATATGCAAATTGATACAGCCATGTTTAATGTCAAGGTTATTGTTTTTGAATTTGCTCTTTACTTCCATGTGCTCAGGGAGAACAGGGTTTGACAGTAAGGGGAGGGGCAAGGTGCTGCCAAGGGAAAAATGTTGGGGGGAAACCAGAGAGCAGAGGGCTACCTGATCCTTCAGATTTATTTTCCCTGCTGTAGCAGTAGGAAGCAGACAAATTCAAATCAAATCTACAATAATTAGATGCTATGCCTGGAAAAGTAAAACACATTTATAAATTTTCTATATATAGAGCCTAATTATTGAGGGGTTGTCTTATAACCAGGGTCATCTTCCATTTGCGTAAATATGGTAATTATTCTTCAAAACACCCTAACAAGGAGTTTCAAGATAACAATAGTGACATTAAATTATCATGTCTAATGCTATGTACTATCAAGTTTTTCCTAATGTTTTCAGCAACAGCCTAGGAGAAAAGGTCTCTTGGTTTATATTCTCAGTGTATTTTTGCTATTATGGTCATGACGTATCCACTACTCAGATATAACTTTGTATAACTTCCACTAGTTGAGCTGAAATGTGTAAGATTTCCACTAACTTTTAGTTAGATAACCTTGGTTCCAATGCATAACTGGCATTAAGATATATTGTGGTTCTTTAAAAATCATTTTTAGCATTGTTTTGAAATGATCACTATCTTTCTGGTTTAAAAGATGTAACCATTTAAACAACCAAGAGAAACTACTGAACTACCATGCAGTATGAAAGAGCATTAGTTCATCTGAAAGGGAAAATATGGATTAACTTCCTAAAAGGCAGGATTCTTGTGGCCCTAACTTCATCAGCCTTTTGAACTGGGAATCAAGAAAGTAGAATTCTTCTTAAACCTACCTCAGCCCACATAGCAGATAATCCCTTAACTCAGGAAGGGTTTACCCGTTTTATCATTCCATGCTAAAAATTCAGAAAGATTTTTTTCCTAAAGAAAGAAGCAAAAACATCATAATGATACAAGTTACCAGATAAATACAGCTGCTGGGATTATACAAATTTCTACCTTGTCTTTGTTATGGCACATTAGCTAATATTTTGTCTGAAGAGCAGATCTCCATGTTGGCACATGCATACTTGCATGTTTGCATTCATGCACCTAAGCCACAACCTCACATTTTCTCATTAAATGATTCATCAGCACTTGGTTAGAGGTGATAATACCTACTAATTCATGTCAATAAGCTGAGTGTGAAACAGGAAACCCCAGTAATTAGTCAAGTATTTGATACCTGATCTCTCTCAACATGCCTATAAGAAGGTGAATTCTCCCCATCAACAAGAATGGAAAAGACAGTGAACACTTACCTTATTCAGTACTATCAAATGGAAAGGGCTTGTAAGAATGCCGTGTAGGGGACTAAGTGCTTTTAAAGTGAGTCTGTACTAGGAGGGTCATAACAGAATATGAAATCAAAAAATGAAACTGTTTCATAACATGGGGCCTTTTCTGCATTGCGGAAATTACCATCATATCTCAAGGCCCTGGTTTTCCAACACCCTCTAAAAATCCCCCCTTAAAAATACTGACTGGAATAGATATTACAATATTGAATGACTAAGACATGACTTCCTGAAACAATAATTCCATGAGTATTATGAATATGTAGGGGTCTTCCTCCCACACTTACTAGATACACACACTCTTACACTACATTGATGAAAAAGTCCAACATTTATATTTCATTACCTAAAAGTGTTATAAAAGTTACCCCCCTAGAAACAAAAGAGGAATAATTTTTGCTAAAGCAAACACTCACCAAGCACAATGACCACAGTCTTCAGGAGACTCATCATGGTGTCCCGATTTCTGCGAGGCCCAGAACTGTGTCTGGACATCCTCATAGTCCTTTGGCGGACGTACCCAAAGATATGAGCATAGAGGACCACCATCACCACAAAAGTGACCAAGTTGAAAATAGCCCAGAAGACCAAATAAGAGTCACTGTAGAGTGGTGCCATGTTAGAGCAGTGAGTGATATCACAGATACAGTTCCAGCCTACGCTTGGTATGGCACCCATTACAATGGCCATAGTCCAGATGACAACAATTACTACCACCACTCGTCGGTTGCTCATCCGAGTGTGCAGCTGCATGCGGAAGACGGTGATATGCCTCTCAATAGCAATGGCCAACAAATTGGCTACAGAGGCTGTCAGGCTAGTGTCTATGAGACCTTGACGAAGTAGCCAGGTGCTTACAGTCAATCTTCTAGTGTTGGGTCCTGTGTTAAACATTAGGTAAAAGTAGGCCAGTCCTGCAAAGAAGTCCGCAGCAGCTAAGTTTGCCATTAAGTAATAAATAGGAAAGTGGAAGCGACGGTTGACATAAATAGCCACCATAACTAAGAGATTGGCCAACATTATGAAGATACAGACGGTAATCCCCAGTCCCATCACAAGCTTGCTAACAGGGTTCCATTCAGTGGCTAGGTATTTTCCACTTTGATTATAAAAGAAGGCAATGGTTTCATTGTAGTAGCACTGTGGTTCACTCATGGCTGTGGACTGAAAAGGAAAAAAAGAAAAATATAAATCAGAATGAAAGCATTTAAACAGACCATAAGATTACTTCTGTAGATAACGTGCGAATGAAAACAAAGCAAAATGAAAACAAAGGAAAATATTCTTCCAATTTATTTAACAACATTTCACAACAAGATCACATTATTTTTCCTTACAATGCTTAGAAGTGGCTTTCAGATTAGAAGCAGCTAAAAGTGCTTATTACTGTCTTTGGAGGTAGAATGTTTTCCAAGGTAGTTGCAAATTACACAGAAATTGTACAAGCCTACTAACCCATTTATAAGCCTGCTGAAAAATAAACCATGTTTAATACAAACAACACTTCATATAATACATAAGAGATTTTAAGTGCCCTATCTGTGTTCCTGATGCACACAATTAGACAGCCTCATGTTAACTTTTTCTCCTTCAGTGAGCCACTCAGGGAATTCTACCACTGTCAGTGTGGTAAACATTCAGCACAGGCATTACTTCACCATTGTTCCTTCCTAAAAATAATTAATTGGTTCACTGTGATAAATGGTCTTGGATTGTAGATTCCTGAACAAAGACACTTATTCCAAATTCTATATAGTAATACATGCTTCAGAAATAAATATATATATATAACAATATACAGGAGTGTTATTTCTACTAGCTTTCTTTATCTTGATTTTAGTCCATTCAGGTTACTGAGCCTACTCTTGGTCAGAACTGTGCCTAAAAAAAAAAAAAAAAAGTAAAACCCTTCTCTACTGTTGAAATAAACTATTTAATTTGGGATGAGAAGAAGAATATAGGGAATAAAAATGAATGTGGTGCTGTACCAACCATAGTACTGCATATCTTTATGAACTCAGCAAACCAATCTCATACTCTACCACTGCCTAATACAGCACAGGCCTGAAAGGAACCTCCTGGGTCATCATGTCCAGTCCCCCAGAAGCACAAGCATCTGTACAACCAACAATTGACCAAAATACCTTTATGTACACCACAGCTCCAAAGCACCAGAAACAAAAAAACCCTACAACCTGACACAGGTAAAGAGCAAGAGATATAAACACACACAAAGACACCATCAGTACCTTGGGACCTTACAAATTTTGCCTTACAAGCCTCAGGCATTCCTTTCCTTTGTTAACTTGCTAGCTCTCTTAACATGACATCATTAGTTACTCAAGATACATTTCCCAAAGGCACCACTTCATGGGACGTATACTTTATTTGTTTATATAGTAATGTCCCCACACTAGCTAGTGAGGCTTAGCAAGAGAGAAGACAAAAAAGCACTTGTACATGCATTCAGTGGATACATCCAGATGAATGCGCACGCCCCTCTTGCAGCATCTCAAAGCCCTTTGAGACGCTGCAAGAGACATGTGTGGGAACAAAAAAATGTTCCCCCTGCTGCAAATTTGCAATGCGTGGGCAAAATTAGACCCCTGGATATCCAGGGGTCAAAAAAATACCTCAGGCAAAAAAGGCAGGGCAGGACCATGGACTGTGCCCTGGGGCAACCAGAGGCCTGGGTCCTCCACAGAGACGGTCAGGCAGCTGGGTCTTCTCGGGCTCAGCGGTGCTGGGCCCCGGGTGACAGCCACAGCAGCCCCAGCTGCCTAACTGTGTGGAGCCACACAGCGCTCTGCCGACCCGGGCCACACCCGCGCGATGGGGCAGTAGCAGTGCAGGTGCCAGGCAGCCGGGGCCAGTCCCCACTGCCTCCCGCTATGCAGGGGGCCTTTGCCAGGAGGACCCAGTGACCCCAATGGCCGCTGCTACTGCTGGTGAGTGCGGGGCTTTTTTTTTTTTTTTTTTTTTTTTAAAGTGCTGGGAGGCTGGGGCAGGGTGGGGCAGCCATCGAGGGTCTGGGGGTGCAAGCAGGGGATAGGGCCAGCTGGGGCAGCCATTGGGGGGCTGCAGGAGCCAGCGGGGGATGTGGTTGGCAGGGCAGCAATCCGGGGGGCTGGGGGAGCAAGCAGGGATTGGGCACATGGGCCCTGCAGGGGGGGT